TACCCCCATCTGTGCCACCACCAGGTTTATAACAATACAGACGTTATTTCAAATATTTCAATTATGTCATGGATATTTTCCAAAAGATCAGTTACAATTAATAATATAATGACACAGAATAAATTTAAAACTGTGCCTTTCGCGGTTTCTTCTTAGCAAAGTCTGTTAGAAAATTGTTGTCTCTGCTTATGGAGATTCAATACATGCAAGTGATAAATTGTTCCATTGTTCTTGGTAAATAACTGACCTAAGGTTTTGATCAATTTAAGTTTGGATAAACTTCTTTCACCAGAAGAGACAGTCACTGGAATTGTCATCAATATTCTTTAAGAGATAAACAAATTAGGGAATGTGGTAGACCTGTCATTACTAGCAAGGTATAGAAACAGTTCCTTGGGCTTTTATTGCAGGCAGTATTGGCTTTATTGTCTCCATTTCTTCAAAAAGCGTCTATCCATAATCCATCGATGCCTTTTGAGATGTCTGTCAGAGCGATCTCCAAGTCGGCTGAACATGTTCTGATATTTTCCTTTGTCATATTCTGAAAATTATTCAGAAATCCAAAGAGTTTGTGATTTCCTTCAGCTGCATAAACCATGATTGAAGAGATTACAATGTTTTGTCAACAACTTGGTTGAAAAAGTTCTCTATAAATTCTGTCTTGGGGTCTGAAGAAGGTTCAGAAATAAACAGTCTCTTATTCTTGCGTACGCGCTTCTGTTGATACAAGGGGTACTTTTAACTCATTTGCAAGCTTATTGGCATCAGTCAAAGCAGCCTCAAAGCCTCTCGGTATCTCTTTAAACGCTCACACATTTTTTTCCAATGACGTCAGCTCTACACTAATTATCCATGATGCTACTTTGAAGTTCCTTGTTAGTAAAATTTACTTGAAACATCAAAGAGTACCAGAAGGATAGTGCAAGCAAAAACCTATAGTTTCTCGATTGGCTTACTAAGAATTCAGCCTTTTTCTAAAGCATCATCTGTGCTTCCTGCTAGTTATTCTAAAGCATCACACACTTCTGCAGCTTGGAATTTTACAGCTTAAACACTTTCCATTCTACATTCTCATCATGTTTCTGATCGTAGTTTAAAAAAAAAAGCTTTCCCATGCTTTTTATAACAGTACATTGTTACGTAGATCATGCGTAGATGAAGCAAAATGTTTGTATATACGCTGTAGGGTTCCAAAAAAAAGAGCTCATGGTATCTGAACATGTTTTAGATCTATTTCCAAGAACATGATTAAAATTATGGAGCTCGTGAATTTCTTTCCAAAAGTTAGAAATATATGTATGGCGTTAGTGAATTAAACTTACCTAAATCGTACGAATCTCTAAATATGTTAACCATTTTAGTCCTACATCTGTTAAAAGCCTGTGATAAGAGCCATGATTTATGATGATATGCTATATGTCAATTGCAGGGGCCCTGCCAGATCCAATTTGGAGCAATCAAAGTCAGGTACCACTTAAAGCTATGTTGACTCAGGGTCGCACTAATATCCCGAAATTCAAAATCCCAATCTTCGAGAATCGAACCCAGGTTCTTAGTAGGGAAGTTAAGCACTTTATCACTCACTCACCGCACGCCCGGTTAACACACAAGCACTTATTCAACCATACTTCTTATATCAATACATACTGTTATTAGGTTGTAAACTGTATATCTTATCTTATATAATACAGACGTTACTTCAAAAAAGAAGATGATTACGTCCTACGCGTTATGCATTCGGTATTGCATGTTAACCAATGACTTAAATTCTACCGAGTCACTGGTTTTCCTGGCTAGCTCAGGCTACCCATTCCATGCTCTAATAGCCCTAGGGAAGAAGGAGTATTTGTACAAATTTGTCCTAGCATATGGGATGAGTAATGTGCATTTATCTTTGTGTCTCTCTGAGTATTTTATTAAATTTTGTTTTTGTATTTGAAGATTATGGTTCAGTGTTTTATGTATAATTGCTATAGATCTTGTATAGATATAAAATAGATGGAAATACAGAAAATTCCTTTTTTTTTGTGTGCATTTTGTTTGATGATCATTTTGGTGTCAAATAAGTTTTTGATCTTTCGGCAAACTAGGGTTAAGCTTTAAGCCTATTCCTACTAAGCGGTGAGTAAGCTTAACTTATTTAAAATCGGGAAAATACTAAATGACAAACTTAAGTGAGCTGCAGAGCTATTATTACGTGTCAGCTGCAGGGTCCAAATTACTCCAAATATAGACTTTTATACAATGGCTTATTAAATGGTTTATTAAAAGAAATTTATATAAATCAAAAAAGAACATAAAACTAAAATGTTATTTAACCTTGGTTAGGCCAATAATAGAATATGCATCCCCCGTTTGGGACCCCTCAACTCAAGAAAACATTAAGAAACTGGAACAGACACAAAATAGAGCAGTGAGATTCATAACAAATGAATATTCACATTTGACTAGAGTAACACCCTTTGTAAAATCACTAAATTTAGAAAGCCTTCAGGATCTAAGACTCAGAAGTAAAGTAGCAATTATACATAAAACACTGAACAATAATATTCAAATACAAAATTTAATAAAATACACTGAAAGTCACAAAGATGAAGGCACATTCCTCATCCCATATGCTAGGACCAATTTGTACAAATGCTCCTTCTTTCCTAGTGCTATTAGAGCATGGAATAGTTTGTCTGAGCTAGCCAGGAAAACCAGTGACTTGGCAGAATTTAAGTAATTGGTTAACATGCAATACCGAATGCATAACGCGTAGTGTGGCTGTTGCTCAAAACGAGGGCGGAAAGCGGTTTAGAAAATTTGGGAATTATAATGTACACGTCCTTGGAGCTAACACTAGCAGACGATAAGGCATAAAGGTGCTCTATAGGTGCCGCATTGTGATGAAGTGTGTGTGTATTTCTATGGTGACGGTGGGAAGAGGTTAGCGATTGGTGATGCAACATGGGTGGCTTTGTCGTCACTTTGGTCTTAGTAAGGGCAGACGACTCCCGAACGTGAGACTGAAAGGTGGTGTTATTGTAGTGAGTTAAGATTTTGTTCCGAAATATTACAGTATGACTAAAGTCTAGTACATTTATTTTGTATCAACTTGATTTTTGGTCTATATCATAAATAAAGTTCTTTTAAGTTTATTCACAAAGAAGTTATTCGAGTTATTTGATGTTTTATTATATTAGACATATTTCGCCTACAACGATTTAGTTGTCTTCTAGCAGTTTGATGCTACAAGTCTACGACCGGTAACAAAACGTATGGATCTATAGAAAAAAAAAAGTAAAAGTTCCCCTTTCAGGCCTTGCGATTGATAGGGGAGATGGATGTTAAAGGTCATCTGTTTCTGTGGCCAGCGGTCAACGACCAACCGTCTTTACTTTCCCCAGCTCAAGTCAAAAGCCCAGTCTTCAGCGAGAATCAAATCCAGGTTCCTAAGTTCGGAGCCAAGCGCTTAACCACTCAGCCACCGCATGGATCTATTGTGGGTGTGAAAAAGTCTTACCGATCAGGTTTGTACCCAGCACTCCCCTCCCCCTGTATTGGTTTATGCGGTAATCCAAGTTAATAATATCTTAAAGAAACACGAAGAACTTTCTAGAGTGGAGACGATATCATTTGTACACTTGGCATCGGTGTGTGGCAGAGCGACATAAACCAATTATCAATGAGGCTCAAATTCGAATACCAAACCATCAGTTATGTTTGCTAGGAGCGTAAAGGTAGCATGGAGCCCCCCCCCCCCCCCCCCCCCCTCAAGTCCACAAAAGAGATTGGACCAGACTACACTGACCATGTACTACATAGAAGAAGTAAAGAAAATATAAAAGTAACTATTTGATTGTGTAATCTTAAGTTTAGATATCGGTCAATGTCAAGGTATTTATGAATTTTAAAATGCTTAAAAACATCTGCCATAAAAAACAACAACAAATTTTATTCATAAATATTTCTTTAATTATCAGTATTTGTATGAACTGCATATTGCATTTGGAGGTGCATGGTCAAAATACATGCAGAAGTCATTAGTTATCATTCAAATGTAGGAACAAACAAATACGAAACAAAACACAGAATTATAGTCAATGAACATAAATGTTTCATATTGTATGGCATGGACAGAGTTCAGTTGTGATGTCTAGCACTAAAACTTGCTCTAGTAAATATGGATGACCAATCAAGTGGCTACTTTTAACATCAGTAGAAGTTGAGTTTATGTGGGTCGGTGATCGGGGACTTAGAGCCATCCACTTGCATTATAAAAAACTTTTGCCCTGGTGGTTGTGGCTATTAGACTTCGCTGTAAGCAGGAATGACCTGAAATCCCTATTTTTAAAAAACAATAATAATTCTTCATCACCATGTGAAAACCTGAGTCACTTCCCTTTCAATGAAGTTTTTATGGAGTTACTTCCCTTTCAACGAAGTGCTAGACATCAGACTTGCCAGGTAATCGTAACATTCCAAAGAAAAATGAAATGATTAAAAAAAAATGTCTTTCAAAATGAATGCGAATCATGTTTCAGTAGCTAGTAGTTTGTTGTTTTTAATCCAATCAAAACAAAAGTCACAGAATGGAATGCACTGGACTCTTACGAGTTAAAAGAGACAATGATTTTGTCCCAAATTGTATCTCATTATGTTGACACCTATTAACTTTACACGGTCACTGAGGCAACATTGACTAAGCTGACAAATAGACTAAGGCCTGGGCTACAATACTTCAAGCAGCCAGGCCACACATTTATATTCTCTTGAAAATAAAAAAAAAAGAATAAAACAGTGCCGGCTTTACACAAGGAGGAGCCACAACACCAATGTAATGCAGTGAAAATATATACAACTTTAACAAACTAAGCAGCAGTTTAAAACAATGCCAAATAAATAAACCTTGACCTTGCTGTGTCATAATACAAGCTGTGTATAGTAATGAGTAATGTATCAACATAGGTCCACATCGCAAGATAGAACCTGGAACAAAGTCATTCATTGGGGTTTAGAACAAAAAAAAAAAGTTTCATTTGAAGACTTTCAATAACGATTGAATCACAGCATTGTTGTCCTTAAATGTCCTAGTTTAGGACCTAGGGCACACAGTGCTAGTTACTGGTAGGACTAGATCTGTACAACTTGGTTGTATGTCATATTGCAGTGAAGGATACTGTCAATATCCTAACCTTACGGTATTGTGGTGAAATACAATGCTCAAATACCTAGCCCATTAAATACTAGCTAAAAGCTTTGACACGGTTCATTAATACTTTAAACTGTCAAAGTTCAGCTTGCAAGAGTTACAAAACTTACACAACCTTTGTTTTTGTTTTTTTTTAATCTTATGATACTAGTGAGTGGAGGAATTTTAAAAACAAGTTGAATTCTATTTGAATTATTCTGACATTTTTAGAGTGAAAGTTTTCAAACTTGTTTTTGTTTCCTCTGAAATTCTCTGAAGAGTTTATTTTATGTACAAAGAAAAACAAAATGGTTCAAAAAGTTGTTTTTACACCTATAACAATGAAAGTGCTGGGTTGATAATAATCATTAAAACTATTACAAGTGCTGAGTAATTGATTCAGTGATTTTACATACAAGTGACTATTAGTACATCTTTAGCATAAAGACTTTTAGTCTTACGTTTATGAAGAGAGCAATATATAATCCTTTTAGTGTACAATAGTTATTCTAATTCTAAATCTTCTTCACCTATTAAACAAACATAATTTCAAATGTTTTAATTCTTATGAATAATATTGTTTGATGTGACATCAGCCATGAACTAGATCAAGAAATCTAGTTCAGAAATACATCACTATAATTGATGCATAAATACATTACAAGTAAGAAAAAATAAATGTCATTTCAGTGACATAGTGCCAATGTCCTTATAGTTTCAGTTCCAATTTACAGCTACTCTGCCGTTTCCATATCTTCTCTAATATTTATTGCACATATAAAAAAAACAAAAAAACAACTAAATTAAGTTCAAATAATTATATACAATCGAAACTAAGATACTCAACATTCTGACTACTGTGTAGACTGAATACAGTATATAGAAGTCTGATATAGAGGAGTTAGAATATAGTGACTTACACCATAGGATATACTTTTTTTTTGTTTCGTTTTCAATAGTATACACAAAATAAAACTGCATTAGTTTTTCATATATATTGTTTTTAACAATCTCAAAAATGCTTGTAAATAAATCATTTAGTTTTGAGTGGGGAGAAACTTGGAAACTATACAAATCTAGACAGGATGTTATGTTTCTGTGTTGGCTGCTAGTTGGAAAGATGAATTAAAATGTAGTTTGTTTCACTGTTATCTTTCTTGCTGTTATGAAAATACACTTTCTTATTGATGGGTTTATATTGTTTGTCTATAAATAGGTTTGTCTTGCCTGGTCAGGATGTCTTAAAAAAGGGCATTCATTTCTACAGTTTTTCTCAGTGAGCGTCTGACCTTTTGACTAAGCGGACACAGGCAAGTCATTAGTCACACCAGACGGGATGAAGAAGACACTACCTCAAGCTGAATTTAAATTCTATTCATGTCACAACACAATTGTCAACATTTTATTTGGACTACATGATGAGATATGCCACTGTCCCACGTGGCCGCAGTCTCATACAGAGACCTTTACTGCATCACCATTCACCAGGGCACACAGTACTCGACAATTCAGTTGGGAACTTTCTTGTCAATAGTATAAGTCTTGCTGCTTTCTTCTTCAGCTGACTGACACAGAGTTGTCCATGATTTCTAAAAACAGGAAGAACCCTTACGCTGTGCAAGTTATTTTCTGTCTCTCCTGTTATACAGCACACGCATAGGTGAAGGTTATCAGGGGAGACAACATATTGCATAGGCCCAGAGTTAGGAGCTACAAACTCCAAATATAGATTTAGTAAATACAGCATACAAAACACCAGACACTGACGTCTCATTACACCATATCACATCTTAATTCACAAATACTACATTAAGGGATGTTAAAAAATTATATTTTTTAATCTCCTTCTAAAATAACATATTATATTTTTCTATTGAAAACAACACTGCGGTTATTTTACAAGGTAAAACTCTATACTGAATAAAATCATTCACAAGTATTGTGTATCCAGCTACAAACAATCAAACAGTTGAATAGCCTGACAATGTTAAGTGGAATCGTCAAGTTACTAAAAAAATCAAATCCTTATGGTGGACATTCCACTGTAATAATCAACACCTTAGCTCTGAATTTTTTCGGCAAAGTTATGAAGCACAAATCAGATTGAGTCAAGGAAGAACTGAGGGTCTGAGTCGTGGCAACATTGAAACACAAGTTTTTTTTTTGGAAGACGCAAGTAGTTTAAAAAAAAAAAAAAAAAAAAAAAGACAACAAATAATGAAACTCAGAATTAAAACAAATCCTTACTGGCTTCTGGAAGTTAAGAAATAAAAGTTGTGCCATGAAGTTTCAGATACAGAGACTCAGAGAAAAGATGTTTCCTTTTTTTTAGCCCTAGAGATATGAAAAAGTTTTCGAATGGAATAAAATTGTGTCTAGTTTTGTCAACTCTTCTTATTCCTTACCCACAAGAACAGCTCCAAGTGCTGCTTTTGAGTTTAAAAACTCAACTCCAAATCGTATTTATAGTTTTTGAAAAAAAGGTGTCAATTTATGAATTTGGCACAAAAGTGAAAATTTTTTTTAATCAACAAATTTGAACATGATGCAAATAGACAAGAGGATTACAAATTTGAGTAGCGAAGAGACTAGTTGAAATTAAACTGGCCTAGTTGATGTACTGGAGCAGTCTCAAGATATTGCATTAGCTGGAAATTATGCTCTCAGGTATCAGCATTTCTCCGTTACAACAGAGTCAAGTCATTCAATTGTTTATTTAGATCAGAATGTAGGATGCACTGCTGCAGTTAGCAGAATGTCCCAACTGACAATACAAATTGACATGAGTGTTGGGCAGTGTGGAGTATTACATGGTACTGACCGGGGGGGGGGGGGGGGGGGGGGGAATGCAAGAATTTTCAGGTCATGGGGAAAAACAACAACTCTGAAATCTGCTAATGAAGAGTGTAGCAGTCGACATCCCATCATTCCACAGTTCTCCAATTGTTGAAACAACATCAAGTCTTCGCATTGACATAATGTCTAGTTTAAAATTTGGTTTAAAAATGTGTTTTCAGATGACTGTCCTTGTAAAAACAGGCAAATAAAAGTCCTAAAGTTAAAACAAACGTTCACTCCAGCTGTGATGCTCCTTCTTCTATAAAACTAGTTTCAAAATCTTTGTGTGTGTGTGGTGGAATCAATGGCCTTCAATGCAAACAATGGCTTTCATATTCTCAATGCAAGCAACATTTATTACAGGTCATGCAAGGCTTGCAATCTCAGTGTATGTCTGATTCCATATAATTTATCCCGCGGACTAGAGTTATGTGCCCTTGTCAAGAGGTTGAAGCTAAATTGTTTCCCTTTGCCCCCAAGTAGGATGAATGGATGCTGATGTGTTCAGGCCCGCTGAACAAGACAGAGACAAAAATAAAATGATGTCTGGGGCAAGTCAGGAGGTGACGGTGGTGCAGGTGATGAGTAGACTTGCACATGTCACACGCTCAAGTTGGTGCAGGTTTCTCAATGGTTCATTTCTTAGAGATCCTCAATCAAACGACATCAAATTTACAGGCTGAAACAGATATATATAAAAAAAAGTCAACCATCAATAAAAAACAAAGGTTATTATATTCAAGTTTATTTCATGACATATACTTTGATCTTTAAACAGTGTATGCCTGAGGAAGCACCCAGCATAGCTCACAGCTCAGCAGCAAAAAGTAAGATATTTGATATTTTGTTTTTTTGGCACATTGGGAGAATTCAGGCCATGTCGTGCCTTAGCTAGAAGAAGAAGACAGCCTGAGGGGTAGGAGAAACAAAAATATAGGGCCCTATATGATGATCTTATTTACTGCCCAAACTCAATAAGAGACAGTAGCTTAGCAACCATGGCCTGAAGGGTTTCACTGCATTTCGTCCCATGACCATTCTGGAACCACATCCAACCCAAGTTTTTAAGGGGTGGGGGATCAAATTTATCTTGACCCAGGCCAATGGGTACCACGACATGCTACTTGTAGCATTGCTCCAATAAACTATATTAATTCTTTCTACTTATAATAATTAGCTTGTAGTTTTATTTTTATTAAAAACAAAGTCATTAAAAGCATTACCTGGACTCTTAAAGAATATATTTAAATCCATGTTAACATTTCTAGAATTGGAATTAAATAAGTTTTTTTTTTACCCTTAAATACATTAGAAAACTTACTAAAGAAATGATGTCAGCAGCTAATCAAAGACGTTATGTTTAGATGTGATGTTTAGATGTTGATGTTTAGAAGTGATATTTAGATGTGAGGTTTAGATGTGTAGAATTGAGTTGCAGAGAATGTTGGAAGCTTACCTTTTGTGTGCCTCTCTTAGTGGCTTCATTGAGATACCTGCACCACTGGAGCGCATTACACTGGGTACCTGCACGGAACTTGTACACATTACCTGAGGAGGAGGCGTTTCATTCTATCAATATTGGCAAAAGTAGAAACATCCAATGTGTCACATCATAACATAGCAAAGTCAAGAAATACAAATGTTACAGAAAGTTTCTAGGTAGCAAAAAAGGAAATCTGATTGACAACAACTATTGGGCCTTATAATGACATTCTGACCCCCTGCCAAAAGATGCCAAGTTAAGACTGAATGGGCATATAATGAGATCCACAGAGCTTTCAAAGACATTTCAGCAGGGACCAGCAGAGTGAAAAGAAGAGGCAGACAAAGGAAACAACTTGGAGGACATCAAGGAATGAAAGACCCTAATCCTGAAAAAGGACAGAGAAAATGGAGAGATGTGGTTGATGGATCATGTGTGTCGCCCCCACATTGCTGCATTAACTGCTTCATTTTACATTCAAGTTTCATCCCAATTTATTGCATACAAAAATTTAAAAAAAAAGAAATTATGTAAGGTATGATGTCACTCTATAATTTGGTGGAAAGCTTGCAAGTCAACTTTTATTTTGTTGGGTATTTTCTTTAAGTTTCTCTGTAGTCTTCCTAAAGTAAGTAAGTCTAAGTAAGTTAGTCTTCCTATCCCTGGCCAACAATGCCTACTGTCTATTAAGTTCAAACAATGAAGAGTTTAAACTTAAACACCAAATAAGGTGTAGGGAGAAGTGCATAAGATTTTACAAACGTATACAAGGGAGTGTACCTTTGACAGGGTCTGTGAGCTGGAATGCATCAGGCTGAAGTGGATTATCTCCCATGATCACCATCCACCCCAATATGGAGGTCATTTTATGTGGATTAGATTTAAACTGAAATACAAAGACAACAAGGTAAATTACGCAGAAAAACAAAAAAAAACATGCATAATACCAGGTCTACTTAATGCTATTAAATGATTAACCCAAACACCTGAAATTAAAAATTTATTTCTAGCTTTTGATTTGTTCATTTGATTCAATCCTAGACATAGGAACAAAGAGAAGAAGAAATTAAAACAAAGAACTCTTACATTAGAACGATCTGAGCCTCGTAATGTTTTAGCTGGGTAAAATAAAAGGTTTGATCCCCATAAGGCCACCCAGTACCTGGACCATGAGGACACCTGCAGACGGAAAAGAAAATAACATTACAGTATAGTTAAGTGTGCCAGCATTGATTGTTACCATAAAAAGAAAAACATCAATCTAGTCGAGGCTTGCCATAATGTCCATGCATACATGCTAACCAAAACTCTAACCCTAACCCTAACTCACTGTTGGTTTCTTTCCCTCCTTGATTAAAGTTTTTCTCTTCAGACATCCCTGACATGTAAAACTCTGATCTTTACTGGCCGGCAACTGGTCATCTTCGGACTCTCGACGAGAAAAACTGCTGGAGGCACAAATAGATGCATAAATCAAAATTATTTTTTGACTAATCAACCATGTTAACTTAATCATTACATGTTAACTTAATCATTACATGATAACTTAATCATTACATGATAACTTAATCATTACATGATCACTTTACAAAGAAACTTGGTATTAAAATAAAGATATAGTGTTATTTGCAGAGATCTCAACTTTCATTGCAGCAACAAACAAAAAGCTATGTGATGCTAAATAAAAAAAAAAAAAATGACTTCACTAGGATAGGATCACAACTGAAAACTGTCTAGGTGTTAAACTTACTTGGACAGAGCTGGCCAGAAAGATTCCTGGTCACTAGAGGTTGATTCCATCATTTCTCTGTTTTCTAAACACAAAACAAAACAAGAAAAACAACAAAAACTTTAGACAAAACAAAAAAAACTTATATGACGTTGTTAGTTGAGGATCAATTAGTCCCGATTAGTCATGTCATTAAATTTGTATTAGAGCTCGACCAACAACAAATCTGTGCGATTAGAAATATTTTGACCAATAGTTTTTGTTGAGCACTATCTCATGCTTTTAGCTTTCTCAATACACTAGGATCCTATCGTCTGGACCAGTTGGTAAAATGCAGGGCCGGGGGAGAAAGAAAGGAAGATCTGGGTGAATTTTACTGTATTTGCTTTTGAGAGGAATTTATAAAAAAAAAAAAAAAGGAGAAAAAGACCTGAATTCAAACTCATGACTCAAGCCAACATTCTCAACACTCTGCTAGTGAGGTGTGTATGAAAATAGAAGATTGTATAGTTTTTTGTTTCAAACTTACTTTAAAACAGCAACCTATAAAGGGTTCAGCTTATACCACCACCTCAGTCAAGTACAATTTCTTTCCTTTGTTCAAGATACCAAACAAAAAATGACCAATATTTAATTAACTAATTGGTTAATTTTTTTTTAAGTAAAAAAAAACACCAAAAAAAATTCACAGGATAAATGACACTTACCAGTCTGAAGCTTGCTGCAAACTGACCCTTCACTGGACGCACAGGGAGATTCCTCCAGGACGCTGTCGTCCAGTAAATGTCGAATGCCCTGAATGTATGGGGCAGTGGCCCTACTGGGCAGACTGTTGGACTTTTCTGCTTGTGGGTGTGTACAGGACATAAAACTGCAGACAAAACAGAGTAAGCAATGAATTAATGATTATGCAAAGTGATAGAATGTATTAGCACATTCTAACGAGTCTTTCAACAAACATAAAAATAGATACAAGCTTAAATACAGAAACAAATAGGATCTTACTTTGCACTAAGACTTCTAGACTTCCGGTGTGTGGCTGCTGACACTCTGGCAACACTCAGCTGATTCCTGGGCTCTGAGTGTGGGGACGGAGGGGGGTAGGTGTTGACATCCTCCCTAGAAGAGGATGACGACGCTGTGCCAGGCGGTTCCAGCTTGAGAGACAATCTACAAAGACAAAAAAATCAAAATATGTGATACACGCTATTGAAGAGAATTTTAATGTTAAATTAATAAGGAAGCAATGATTTAGAATAATGTCTGGAGATAGAAACAAAAGCTTTATAACTGTGTTAAACTGTGAAGTAGACATTGTAAGACTGCTTAGAAAGTTGACTAGTGTCCGGAGACAGTTTGATTAAATAGACATTGTAAACTGCTCAGAAAGTTGACAAGTGTCCAGAGACAGTGTGATGAAATAGACATTGTAAGACTGCTCAGAAAGTTGACTAGTCTCATGGGACATCCATCCAACCCAGAAGTGCTACAACCCATGGAGGGCTCTGGCCTGCTTTAATACATCCCTCCATTCAGATCTCCCTTTGGGTCAGCTGTCTTTTGGTTGACAAGTCTCCAGAGACAGTTTGTGGTGCCAACAACAGAGACAAGAAGACACGTATGTCAAGGGAAACGAAGATGAAGATGTAGCAACAAAAAAAATGTCAACTGAACATCAAAAGCTCTTAAAAGAATTGATAAAAACCAAACAACAGAATCACTCACTTGTAGTTGTCATCCTCTACAAATTTCTGCAGTTCTTCAATGTATCTGACAGACTTCAAGTAG